TTATGTCATACAATAACACTGTGTTGCTCGACTATCCTCACGATGCAGTGTATTGCTATTGAGAATATAGCTGGTGTGAAAGACTTCATTTTTTTCGTGATATCTGGTGGAATTGCTCGTGTTGCCTTTAGCAAATAGCATGATATCTCTTACTTGGTTAGATACATGGCAGCAAGCTGTGTGAGAGTTCTGTAGCCAAGGAAGAGTTTTATGTAATTGTTATCTCGAGGTTAGTACAGATACTGACATGTGAATTTCTGCAGTTGCACAGTGGCTGAGGCAAAGCTTGTTTGTGTGTATACAACGCAGCTTCTCAAACATTTCATGGCAGAGGAGTTGGCACTAGATGATCTTAAGGTTCTTTTCAACCCTAACTGTTCTATGATTCTATGATCTGGCCTTTTTACTAACATGGCAGTATAAGTTACAGTCCCTTCTCTCTTTCTGCTCATATGTGTAAAGTCCTTTAATTCTTGGAGTTGAGAAAACCACTGAACTAACATTGACTGCACCTTTCTCTTCACCTCTCACTCTGAGGTTATGATTGAAGATGCTGTGTTGGTGGATTTTGGTACTCAAATCTTTTATGAGTCAAGAAAAAGATAAAAAGAGCCTGATGTAACTATACCGATGTGAAACATAGTCCCTGTGGAGAAGAAAAGACTATTGACATTGTCTTTACTATAGATAGACTTCTGTGATGAATGTCCATATCATTTCTTTTACTCTTTGTGTATCAGCAACTTAGAAGCACTTTGGTTTGTTGGGTTTTTTTAGTATACACAACTGGCTCTTCTATATGGTATCTGGCCACAGTGCTCTCATTCATGTTGAGGGCAGGTCCTAGTGACGAGTGGTGATTTGGGCTATGCTTGTGAGCGTGGTCCTCTGTTTATACATCATTTTTATGTTAAAGAGAGAATGTCTGTAAAAGCAGCCTGATGGAGTTGTTGCAAGAAAGAGTATGTTTGCACTACATGTTGTCCAGCTCAAATAATTATTTTTTAATATGTTGGATTTTCAATGTATTTAGATTTAGTAAATGTTTTCTTGTGCTTGTGTACACTTGATGGCCAGTTTTCTTCTCCAGCTGAATATGGAACAATGATGATTTTGATTCTGATGGGCCTTCTTTTGCAGCAGTTTGTCGTGGTTTAGCCACAGACAGCAACTAAGTCCCACACAGCCACTTACTCAATCCTTTGCAACAGGATGGGGGAGAGAATCAAAAAAAGTAAAAATGAGTAAACTCGTGGGTTGAGATAAAGGCAGTTCAATAGGTAAAGCAGAAGCCATGCACACAAGCAGAGCAACACAGGAATTAATTCACTGCTTCCCATCCCAGTTCAGCCCATTTCCAGGCTAGCAGGGCTCCATCATGTGTAATGGTTACTTGGGAGGACAAAACACCATCACTGTGAATGTCCCTCCCTTCCTTTTCTTCCCTCAGCTCTATATGCTGATGAAGACGCCATATGGTGTGGAATAACCCTTGGGTCAGCTGGGGTCTGCTGTCCCTGCTGTGTCCCCTCCAGCTCCTTGTGAACCCCCAGCTTGCTCTCTGTGGGGTGGTGTGAGGAGAGAAAAGGCCTTGGCTGTGTGAAAGTGCTGCTCAGCCGTGACTAAAACACCTCTCTGGTATCAGCACTGTTTCCAGCACAAATCCAAAACACAGCCCCATACCAGCTACTATGGGGAAAAGTAACTCTATGCCAGCCAAAACCAGCACACAGAGGCAACATGTGAGTACGTGTGATTGCCCCCATTGCCGGAAGCACAGAATGCTCTTATTTCCTTAGCTCCTTTTGTCAGGTTTCACAGGCTAAAGACTGTAGGCTTCTGCTTGGCTTTATGTAGCACTCTGAGCATCTGTGCTGTTGGTCTTCAGAGTCACTGTACTCCTTTGGTACCAAGGCATTCCTGAGTGTCTCCCGTTGACAGCTGGATGTTGTGGTAGGTGATCTTTCCTCTCCAGGTGCCTTTGAAAGCTACATGCTATCACCTGGCAGTGCATGCTTTTCTCTTATTTTAATTCTTGCCACAACTTGTGTCTTCCTAAAGTAAATGTGCCAAACTGCTTTACGCTTGGAAGAAATAATAGTTCTATGGATTAATTTGCTTGGATTAAAAGGAAAGTTTAGTTTTCATGGCTATGTAGCATTTTACATATCTGCAAAGTCCATTTTTACATGAATATTTATTATTTCATTGGCTACTGAAAAAAGATGCATTCCATAGGATTTCCAAGGTCTCTGTAAACTCTGAAGCCTGTAAATGATTTGGTGAAGTGAACCATTTTTGTCTCAGTAGGCTCTTTTCCTGTCTTTCACAATGACCAGTACCATGGTCTGGTGAGGGGCAGAATGTCATATGTGCTGCAGGGGAAGAGTGGCTCAGCAGAAATGCTTACCTCCTTTATTTCAGAATGTCATGTTTCACCATATGTTTGGGATAGAAATAGCTTTTGTCTGATTCAGGAAATGCTTAGCATTAAGAATGTGACAGATGTCCACCTTCTTTCAGAGTCTGTGCTGTTGCTGATCATCATTGCATAGCACAGTCCCCATCACCTGTAAGCTAGTTCTTATGAAGACCTGTCAAAGGTACAATTCCCTAGAATTTCATGTCGGGAAGCAAAGACTCTAATCATTGTTTTCTGGGGGTTCACAAAGTAATTTTTGCATTCTTGGAATATCTTAATATCGCCTACATGATTGACTTCCCTTTTGTTTCTAGTCATTCGTTCTCCAAATTATTTCAGATGCAATTATTATAAACAGATGATTTTCAGGAAACTGTTTTTGCCTGCCTGTATGGAATAATGCTTCTTGTTCACACAGCGCAAATAAGTAGAGGTGGTTTCCTTTTACATTAGCTATGTGTACTGCTTTTGCTGCTGTTACCATAGAGTCACAGAATGATTTGAGCTGGAAAGATCATCTAGTTCTGAATCCCTGGCATAGGCAGGGACACCTCACACTAAACCATGTCACCCAAGGCTCTGTCCAACCTGGTCTTGAAACACTGCCAGGGAAGGAGCAGTCACAACTTCTTTGGCCAAGCTGTTCCAGTGCCTCACCACCCTCACAGTTGGTAGATTATAAACTTCCAGAAAGCTGATTCAAAAGTGGGGAGAGAGGGGAAGCTTTTAGAAAACTCCTTAAAAATTATTTGTCTTTCAGTCATCTTCTCACTTTATGGGCAGATCTGTACTCTTTGGTTTCATTCACGTTCAGTGTTATGCTGGCTGTTGTTAACATGTTGATCTTTACCACTCATGGATGTAAATTTGCCTGCAGGGTTAAGTTTTGCCTGTTGTTAGCGTGAGAATGTTAGCTGGTGAATGAAGTTGCTAAGCCACTGGCCATCATATTTGAAAAATCGTGGCAGTCAGGTGAATTTCCCAACAACTGGAAAAAGGGAAATAGAACCCCCATTTTCAAGAAGGGGAAAACGGATGACCTGGGGAATTACAGACCAGTCAGTCTCACCTCTGTGCCTGGCAAAATCTTGGAGCAGATTCTCCTGGAAGGCATGCTAAGGCACATGAAAAACAACAAGGTGCTTGGTGACAGCCAGCATGGCTTCGCTAAGGGGAAATCCTGCCTGACCAATTTGGTGGCCTTCTATGATGGGGCTACAGAACTGATGGACAGGGGTAGAGCAGTTGATGTCATCTACCTGGCCTTGTGTAAAGCATTCAACAGTGTCCCACACGACATCCTTGTCTCTAAATTGGAGAGACATCAATTTGATGGATGGACCACTCGGTGGATAAAGAACTGGCTGGATGGCTGCACACAAAGAGTTGTGGTCAATGGCTCAGTGTCCATCTTTGTCGCTGACATGGAAAGTGGGATTGAGTGTGCCCTCAGCAAGTTTGCTGATGACACCAAGCTGTGTGGTTCAGTTGATACGCTGGAGGGAAGGAATGCCATCCAGAGGGACCTCGACACGCTTGTGAGGTGGGCTGATGCCAACCTCATGAAGTTTAACCAGGTCAAGTGCAAGGTCCTACCCCTGGGTCAGAGCAATCCCAGGCACAGCTACAGGTTGGGCAGAGAAGAGATTCAGAGCAGCCCTGTGGAGAAGGACTTGGGGGTGTTGGTCAATGAGAAAATGAAGATGAGCTGGCAGTGCACGCTTGCAGCCCAGAAAGCCAACCATATCCTGGGCTGCATCAAAAGGAGCATGACCAGCAGGTTGAAGGAGGTGATCCTGCCCCTCTACTCTGCTCTCATGAGACCTCACTTGGAGTATTGTGTGCAGTTCTGGTGTCCTCAACATAAAAAGGGCATGGAACTGTTGGAACAAGTCTAGAGGAGGGCCACAAGGAGATCAGGGGACTGGAGCACCTCCCGTATGAAGATAGGCTGAGAAAGTTGTGGCTGTTGAGCCTGGAGAAGAGAAGGCTGCATGGAGACCTCATAGCAGCCTTCCAGTATCTGAAGGGGGCCTATAAGGATGCTGGGGAGGGACTCTTCATTAGGGACTGTAGTGACAGGACAAGGGGTAACGGATTCAAACTTCAACAGGGGAAGTTTAGATTGGCTATAAGGAGGAAGTTCTTTACTGTAAGGGTGGTGAGGCACTGGAATGGGTTGCCGAGGGAGGTTGTGAATGCTTCATCCCTGGTGGTGTTCAAGGCCAGGTTGGACGAAGCCTTGGGTGATATGGTTTAGTGTGAGGTGTCCCTGCCCGTGGCAGGGGAGTTGGAACTTGATGATCTTAAGGTCCTTTCCAACCCGAACGATTCTATGATTCTATGAAATAACCTGTACAGCAGTAACTGAGTTAAATGACACTGAGAAGTTAATCTCTGCATATCATAGTTACTTCTGCTGAAACAAATATTTACCTGGAGGTTATGGTTTCAGAGCAGGAAATCTAAATGTAGTCAAAAGAAACCGAGATTATGTTCATGGCATTTTGCTTGATGTCTACTGCTTTGTATTAAAAGAGGTCATAATGAATAACATTGTACTTCTTATTCCTTACAGATCAAAAGAGAAAAACCAGAAAATATACCAGATTTAAAATCTTTAGTACACGAAAAATTTACTGCGATGGAGAGCGAGAACAGTGACTCAGATTTGCAAAACAATGAAAAATACGTTTATTTTAAGGATCAGCTTAAACAGATGAGAAAACAATGTAAGTCTTATCTTTTAAAAACTATAGATTCTTTGAAAGCTAAATGGTAAGATGTGACTAACTGCCCTATAGAGCTGCTGGTTATGGCTCAAACTGAGGTGGGTGTTTGTATTTAAAAACTTACTTAAATTGCTATCTCTGCAGAAGGAAGCCAGTGTTAATTACTTTGGTAGTTTTATTTAGACTCCCACAGCTCCTGCTATGTCTGAATACAAATACCCTGAAAATGTTGCTTCACATCTTTTTCTGTGGAAGGTGGGCTTTTTCGTTAGAAGCCTTTCTCATTAGTTTTATTCTTAGTTGATAGGATCTTCTAAAAAGATTAGGTAAGCTGTTTTCATTTGTCACTTAAACAAATTGCTCTTGTTTCACAACTTAGGATGTGTTGCAACTCTAAGAAGACCTTTGCTTTAATGGTAGAACTATATTGTTAAAAAATGCTTACTGTGTGTGTTCTCAGGTTTACAGCTTCTATGCACGCACCATGTAATGCTGCAGTTTATTAAAATCTGGTTTTCTTAATTCATGTGATTTATCAAGTGTTAAATTATGAAGTTATTTCTGCTTGAATTACCAGAAAAGCTGGAGAGTGAACAGTTCTAGTATTTATGCAGCACGACAAAACTGTACACTTTTATTGCCCTGCAGATTATAGTAGCCATTAAAATATCTCTGATTACTGTTGCCGGGAAAGTTCATAGGCTCTAACACTATTTGTGCTGCTCTTCCCCAGTCGTGATCGTGTTTTGAACTCATATTATTCTGCTTGCTGTCCCTTGACCCCTGAACCTATTCCCTCCCACCCTGCATTTTGATTTCAACATAAACTGGTATCTCAGGAACCTCAGGAGTTATAGATTAATGATTTATACCATTAGAAAAATGATACTCTGGATGCTTTCCTGTAGCTCTCCTTGAGCTTTGTTTTTGTGGAGCCCTATCCGAAACCCGCTGAAACTAGCGGAAGGAATTTTCCCGCTGAGTTCACTGGACTTTGGATTACTTCCCTGTTCTCTGTAGAGATTTATGAAGTGTGAAGACATGTTTGACAAGGTGAATTTTAGATCTGATATCTGAAAACTCCCTAGGATTAGAGCTTGAGGGCTTAATATACGTGTTTCCTGTCTATGGTTTCTGAGATTTTGGATTTGAGTATTAGCATTGATCTCTGAGTTCAAGTGAGCTCTTGGCGCTATTCTTAAGAATGAGCATACCAAGTTGCAGACCACAAAACAGTGTAATTTTCACTCTCTCCATAACCATAAAATTATTACTGCCCCACCATTATGTTGTAATTCCTAATTTCCAGGTGTTTGTAACTGAGAAGATAAAATCTTGATAACTGACTTTGGATTTACTTTCCACCCTGTACTTGCCTGAGGAAGGGGTGTATGCCGTAGTACTGCATTCAGCTCAGGCTGTGGGACTGAGTTCTAACTGGAATACCTGTTGAAAAAAAAGGTATTAAATAAGGTTAAATAAAATTAAATAAGATTAAATAAGCACAGGAAATGTTATTCTTGGAAAAAAAAATATGCAAGGACATCATTCTGCTAATACTGCCTGAAATCCAGATATGTCCTATTAGCCACTTGGACTTCTGTTTTAGTTGTGCACAGAGGTCAGACTGTGTCCAGTATGAAATGCTTGGTGATGTTGGATGTACTGCTGTGTTCAGACTGTTTCAGTCAGATGGGTCAGCTTGGGTTTTGTAGAACACATGATGTTTCGGATGAGGTAAAACCATCACATTTGGTCATATTGCAGCATTTTATGCAATTTAAAAAGCTGAATGGAAAGTTATTAGTTAACTTTCACAGACTTGGGTGCAGTATAATGAGCATGCATTCAAATAAAGAGCCTGGTATATCCCCCCTGCTTTTGAAATGGGTAACTAAATGCCACCTCAGATCTGCAGACAGAAATAGGTGGAAAATTCAAAGTTAAACTTTTCAAAGCAAGCACAATAGTGCTGCCTTAAACTTGCATTAATATTGTGTCTTCTGCCTAAGTAGTGTGTTGATCCACCACAAAGTCACTTTCCGACTTTACTTTCCTCTTCAAAAGGCTTTTTTACAGGGAAGGCTCTCAGAAATTCTTGAATAATAGTGGATGACTGAAGATCAGTGAAGTCTGTATTCACAGATGTAAATTTGCTTCTTATGATACAGTGACCTGGAACCAGTAAGATTGTTCAGTTTCTCTGTTGTAGCTATGTGAACTTCTTACCCTTTTCCTCTCTCTCTCCTTTTCTGTGTTTTGGGCACTCATACATAATCTTTAAAAAGACCTCAACAACTGAATGTCACAAATTCATTCACAAGCTTAAAAAATGACAGATACATTCTCATAGGATCAGGGCCTCTGGTCTTAACATCTTTGTGAGAAGCTAAGCTGACGTGTACTCTGTCTGATACAGAAAGTCTATTCTTGTTGTTGGGCTCTATGTAGTAAATTAGTATGCTGAGATGTGTAATTGAACACTATCTAAAATATCACATACACCATGCAGAAAGTAGTGTTACTGTAAAGAATGGGCTAGAAAGCAGGGACTTTTGGGTTGCATTACTAGCTGAGCTCAGATACAGGAGAACATTAAGGTCATCCTGTTAGTCAGCAGTGTGCTTGAGTCAAGTCATCTGTGTATTCCTTAGCTTCTCCTTTATGCATTGTGTTTTCAAAAGCATGAGTCCTACAGTACTGGTCCCATAATACAGCATATTATAATGTGTCTGCAATTTTGGGGAGACTGCTTGGTGTGAGTTATGTGTAAAGCTGCTTGATGTGAGTTACATGTATCAATAACTTCATCTACAGCTACCTGGTTGCTGCTTTGTTTTCAGGTATTAGTCTTGCCAGGTTTGGGCACAACTTAGTGCATGACTCCTGGCCTGTTTCAAGCACACATACACAGTGTGATTCAGTTTTTAGCTCTTCCCTGGGGTTTGGTTTTATTGCTAAATCAGATAAGATATAAAAACTCCAGCCATGTTTTTTAGAGGAGCTTTCCTGGAGTTTTCTCTTGTCCCAGCCTTTTCTATCTGAAGAGCAGATGGGGTAGATGCTAAAATGATTTGCCTTTCATGATAGCTTACCATTAATCATTACATAGTTTTTATGCAGAGTTTGACATTTTTATTGTAGAATAGCTGAACAAGGAAACGTAGTCTCATATTGTCTTGCTACTTAGAAATTAGCTAGTGTTTTAAGGAGAAAAACTTTCCTTTTGGGTATGGTGCAGAGTGTGAAGCAGTTAAATATAACCTTATTTCAACAGAAAATTCAGAAGGATAATACATTTTGTCTCTTGATATTTGGTGCCCCAGTGATGGAAAGGAGCTGTGTGGTTGTTCTCTGCCACCTAAGAGGTGACATGAAGCATAGTAGGTACCTCTGATACTCTCAGGGAGGGGATCAGCGCTGTATCATCTTCAGGTTGTCCTCCAGGCAGCTTTGTGGGAAGGAGACCTTCTTCTCTTTGAGCTTTAACAGCAGCTAAAGTGAAGAAATGAAATTGGGAAAGTGCATCTGTGTGACAGTAAAGATGATATCATGCCTCAGAGCAGTTTCTGTTCTGCTCAGCTTTCAGACAGTTTGCAGGCATTTTCCCTCAATCTGTGAGCCTTTATTATGCAGCTCCTTTAGCTGGAATTTGTGCAAAATGATGTGAAATCTCCACCTCTGATGATATGTGTCAAAACACTGTCAGACGGGTTTTATGTGAAGAGCAAGTGATTTTTTTCCTCAAGTCTGTTTTCAGAACAATCTCACATTCCTAAATTCCCACTTCTTATTTTTAATGGAAAACATTTTCATTTTTTTGTCTCATACCTGCTTAGAATGTAAGCCATGGAAAATAAGTGTTGATTAATATGTTTTTATGATATTTTCAGCCATTTCTTGTACCTCAGAATGGCTACATCATCTTTTCCAAATAATGGAGCACTTGGAGGGGTATTCACTAAATCTGGTAGTAGCAGCAAATTCTAAATGATTACATGTGTGGTTTGTAAGAAAACATTTTTGTGACCCTGCATGACTGATCCACTCTTTGCACATAAGGGTGCTGGATCTGCAAAGTGCTTTAGTGATCTCCTTTTGATTAAGTTAAATACTTGAGCAAGTTGCTTAAATTAAAGTGCTTGAGTAGATCCTTTGAAATGAGTGAGATTGCTGGCATGTTTCACTTCCTTATTGGAGTGTAACCACAGTACAGAACCTTGCAGGACTAAGCCTATAGGAACCAAGTCATGATTACTGCAGGAATTGTAACTTTGCATTTTGTATCTTCTGTAAATTTAAAATCCCACCTTCTGTTTAAAGTTGTATTAGCAAGTCTTTTTATTCCATGCCAATATATATAGAATATATATATATATATATCTCAAAGGCATCTTCTGGCACAGAGTATGAGAATTTTGCCTTCATAAAATGAAAGTAAGATCTGCCTTTAATCTCTGTGTATCAGTTTAAATTTCTGATACTCTGTGCAAAGAGCTAATCAGCAGGTAAAATCTCTCCTCCTGTGACCCTAGCTGCCGCTGCTGTTTGCTGAAGGTTATTTAGTTTCACATTTGGTGCACAAAGGATGGCAGGTTTCATAGCCCTTTTATAGCAGCTGATAACATGCACTTTGGAATCCTTGATAACTACGGGCTGTACGAACACCCAGCAGATGCATGTTCAGTAGTCGTGTTGTAGGAAGTGTTAAGGTTTGAGTGAATGACAACATTGCTGGCTTTGCCAAACAATTGAAGGAGTGAATTTGGCAAATGTATCAAAGTGTTTTTTTTTTATAGGGAACGAATAATTTTGAGACACAGCAGTAGTTTAGGCAGGTTTTTTGTCATAGGAGACCAGTCACTGCAATGTAATTTGGAAAGCATTGCAGTTGTAAAGGTCTTCCTTGTCCTGCCCACTGAAGAAAAAATGTTACAGAGGGTTTGAAAGAAAATTGTAAAATGTATGTATCACATTTTAACATTTTGCTAGGACAGATT